AAAAAAAGAACAGCCTGTGAATACCTTCCACAATGTCAACGCCATCTTTGGGTTCGTTCACCTCAGAATGAAAGGCAAATCCTGTCCCCGCGCGTGGCTAATTATTGACGCTGTAATGCGGCCTAACAGACAGATCACGATCAGTAACGATCTTATTGAGCGAAAAAAGACGGGTGTTTGCTTTCATTGTGACATATTTTTAAAAAGCAACAACCTACCCCCCCCCCAAAAGAAAAAAAACGGCAATGGAATGACAATGTTATGTGAGCTCGGATTAGTCAACAGGAAATGTTCGGAAATCCTGAATTTTCGTTAAAACGGCTAAAACAGGGTTGTTATTATATTTTTTCGTTAGGTGGGGTCACAATTCTCAGTTTAAATCTTCTCAGAGAACCATATTTTGAGAAACTCCTTTTTAAGCTGGCTAGAATTTCTACTTGAAATACTACAGTTAACTTTTGACTCACGTCAGTGTCTAATTAAGCCCCTGCGTGGTAGAAAATTCCGAATGCCGTGAGTACAAGTAAGGGAATGGTTGATGTTCTATACTCTAAAGTGACATATCGTGTTTTTTCGGGTATTTCGACACATTTTGCTGCTACATCCCCTTTCTTCGGTTTGAGGGTCGTTTTGACGTCCACCAATCGTTGGAAGCGATCTTTCGTCAAATACTCCTAGGATTTTTAGTTTTAGTAAGAGTTTTATAGCACTTGCAACACAATAAGGTCATATAAGAGCCGAAGAATAGAGGTGTTACAAGAGAGTAATAACATGCCCCCCAAAAAGGAGGAGAGATAATGACGATAGACGTTTGATAGGAAAGAAGGAGCTTACAAAACCAGAGCACCCGCCAAACCACCCACGCTCCTAGGATTTAAGGTTTATCTTTTTTGGGTCTTGTCCCTCTTGCAGACGACTTTGCATCTTCATACAGATGGGTTTTCTTCCTCTTTGCATTCAAGGAAAGACAAATACAGTTTCTGGGACACCTGAATAGACATTAAAACCTTGACAACTAGCTCTCACTGGCAAAACTGAAGGCAAACGAGGCAGGGATATACTCAGAGTAACTTACTTGGCGGGCCTAAACATACAGGTGACTGGGAACGATCAGGATAATGCTTTTTTCTAAAGAGCATTCGTGCAAAGGAAAGAATGGAGAACCATGGTCGCCGATGTCTTTCACAGATCTGACACGGATGACGACGATGTTGTATTCTCTAGTTCTTTATAGAAAAAAGTCGGCGGAAAATATCACGCTTTTCCAAAGATCTTTCAAAGGCATTTAAAAAGAAAGCTAATGAAATTGTTCACGTTCCCTTTGTGATGCGCTGTCCAGATCTCAGTTGCGTAAAGCAGTGTTCCCTGAACACCTGGTTGTTTACTGTCATCCTGTTCTTGAGGCTTACATTTCTGTTACACGAGACTCTCTTTAACAGTTTTCTCACGGTCTTGGAAGCTTTGTCGGGCTCTTGCTCAAGAAAAATGTGAAATGGTATAGGTTTAACGCCCCTATCAACACTATTAGGTTATTTAGGAGACAGGACCCCCGAGTTTAACGCCTGTCTCTGAAAGGATCGACCTAAATGAGAAATTCGTGTAATGTGCCTTTCCCGAGGACACAACGTCGGACCGAGCTGAGGCTCGAACCCCCGAACCCCTCAGTTTCACGATTACGAGTCCGGCAGCCTGACCACCAGACTACCGACATCCTTGATCAAGTACTTGCTTGGTATTTAATAAAATGGACTTAAGTGTGTGAAGTGGACAACCACTTCTAGTCTTTCCTTTATTGGTGTTAGAGTGGATGGTTGGAGGGCACCCCCAAAAACGAAGAAACAAAACAACAAGTCCAAGACCAAAACAAACCAAAAACCAAAAAAAAACAAAAAACAACCTCCTCCAACAAACAAGACGCCCACACACTGACAAACATAAAAAAACAAATACAAGTGGAAATAAAACAAGTACACATATTAGACGCATTTAAAAAACAAAAAGATACTCTCACGAATACGTAAACCTTTTTTTTTTTTTTTTTTTTTTACAACAGAAAGAACTTCACAGACACGCATACACAAAGACAGGGGGCTTACAAAGTCATCAAGTCCGGAAGGGAATCAAAGACGTGGCGACCGATCTTGGAGATGGTGTTATTATCCAGATGTCTGCCGAGAGAAATGAAATAACAGATCAACACCTGATTGCAATCGGAAACATTTTTAGAAATCAGACAGCGATAAAATGTTCAGGTTCACATGTGCGTAAGCAATGTTTTGTTTTATTCTTTCTTTTTCTTTCAATGTACTTGGGGTTTTTTTTCGCACCAATTGACACGTTTTTTAAAAAAAAGATCATTTATTTATGAGGCGGGCTTCAATCATTCCTGTCAGGGGCAACCAGTGCTGAGAGAGAGAGAGAGAGAGAGAGAGAGAGAGAGAGAGAGAGAGAGAGAGAG